CATCAACTCACTGGTCCGGGCCACCCTCGTCATGCACCTTTCTGCCATTGCTGTCACCTGGCTGGCCTCCTTGGTGCCACGGCTCCTGTCCCCCGCGGTGTCTGATGCAGTGCATTGAGATCAGCAGAGGGGACGCCACATGCACACTCGTGCGCGCTAACAGGTGGGTCGAAAGGAAACGTCGGTGTAGTTCACGCACAGAGGACAAGCAGACAGGTGTCACCGTATGGGACTGTCTTTAGATGTCATAACTGGGACGTGCTGCTGGCCAGGTTGAGGACTGAGGATGCCTGGCAGGGGACAAGTCTGAATTGAGGAAATGAGACCGAGGCAGGAGCCCCATCCGGGAGACCACAGGTGATGCTTGAAGACAGAGGTTCTGGGCTCGGCAGGGCGGGGGCCCCGGGGCTGCTCAGGACCCAGCCGTGGCCCTGGGCTGTCCAACGTGCAGGGGACAGTCCAGTCCCCACCAGGAGCTGGCTGGTGGTGTACTTTTGGTCCCTGTTCAGAAGTCCACAGAGCCAGCCCAGTTTTCTTACCAACACGTGAACAAGGGATTGGATCAGATCCAAAATTGATGGCCCCAGAGAACCGACCAAGAAAAACCAGAAATCAACAGGTGACCTTCTGGTTCCTTTTTATGATTTTTTTCACATGAATTGTAGGTGACTCACCCCCTCCCCGCCCCCAGATCACACTTAACATTCCAACATGTAATCGCCACCATAAAATCCACATTGCCCCCACCGGCTGGAGTGTTCGATAAAACAGTTTCATAAAACCCTTTTTCTCACTTTCTTATAGATCTTGACGTCAGAGATCCGAGTCACTGCCTGATTCCACTTTTTACTCGTCACTCGATTTTTAAAAAATTCGCTCACAACTTTCTTACTCCTGCTACGATCACTCACTTTCTTAGAAAGTTTTGTATCTCTTGACTTCCATGCCTGGTGCCCATACCGACATTTACGTGTCCGTCGAAAAGGTGATGAAAATTCATCCTCAGAATTCATCAGTATCATTGACTCGACAAGCGCTTACCGCGTGCTGTGTGTCAGGAACTGTTCTGAGCGTGGCAGAGGGGCAGCCCTCAAAACGGACGCAGTCCCTTCCCCAAAGGAGCAGAATTCTTGCTGGGAGACAGAACAAACAGGCGAATGCAAAAGATATTACACAGCGATGCAGGCTGAAGCGGGAAAAGGGCTTCTGGGCCAGAGGCGGGTGGCCCGGGAAGGCCTCGGCAAAGGTGGGGGAAGGAGCCGGTGGTGTCTGGGAGCGGCTTTCCCGGGAGAGGTGACAGACACCATGGAGGTAAAGGAGGAACAGCATGGGACAGGACCTGCCTGGTGTTTGGGGATCCGTGCGGCTAGTACCCAAAGGGGAGCCAGGACCCAAGAGAGAAGAGTGATCACGAAGGTGGAAGGAGGCCAAGTCCTGGGCCTGACGGGGACTCCGGTTTGTCCCCGAGTCCCACGGGGGCCACTGTTGGGACTTAGCTGAGGAGGACAGGTCTGGCTGAAGTTTTCCCAGGACTCCTCTGGCTGCTGTGCTGAGAACAGACATACTCTCTAGAGGTCTTTAGAAATGCATATAAGTATCCTCATTCACAAGTCACACTAAAAAACCATTTAAAAAATGCATCATGAAAACGGGCCTCTTGTTTAAAAGATTATTAAGAATTTCAAGGTGGCGTGTGGGACCTTGGCCCCACCACCGTCCTTGGCTCTGGCCAGGGAGGGGTGTAGAGCGTGTCGCGGCTAAGGCCTTCTCACGGCGCGTACCCGCCATTCAGCTCTGCCTTGTTTTGACGTACGGGACAATTAAAGGGGTGTTTGCTGGGAGACCTGGAGTGACTCCTATAGCATTCTACGAGAAGCTTCTAGAACATAAATGTTGGTGGTTCTCTCCTTCGATGCCCAAGAATGGAAGGTTTGCCTTCTTCCCGTGTCTCAGCCTGAGGCAGGCACGGTCAAGGTGGCGAAGTCTGGCATTTGGACAGAAGGAAAGCTCAGCGCCTCAGGAGAGGGATTAACACGAATATTCATTCACATTAACAGCTGAAAACAAAGGTGCCCATGGCTCAGTGGCTCTGAAACAGACACAGGTACCAAAACTCACAGATGCAAAGTGTGGGGGGTGAGGGCTGCAGCAATCGGAAGGCCGTGCCCCAAAAGAACAGATGTAACAAATACCCCCAACGTCTTAGTGACTTCTTCTCACGCCGGCTTACGTCTGCCGCATCATTCAGCTTTAAAACAGCCATCCGGGTGTTATCCTGTCACCCAAAGTGGCAGATGAACCCGACCTAATCATCTGCTAGACTGACTGGCGCAAGGCACAGTGGCGACGGACCCTTCGTGTGTGAAGACGCGAGGGTCAGCGTTCCAGGTCTCGAGGGAAATGATGAAGTCGCCGCTCTGGGCCTCCGCGGTTCGGTGCCTCCCGTGGGAATCACTCTGTGATTCAGAAAAAAAACACACACGACGACCAAACCACAGATCCCTGCGGGTCTGACTCACACTTCAGACATATTGATTTAGGGATTATCAATTCTACAGAATGCGACAGGTCCTCTTGCTGCGTGCGTTGTTCGGACTTGCCTAAAGCTGGTCATTGTGAAGGAGGCTCCTGGACCCCGGCGTGCTGACCGCCTTACAAGGAAAAAGACTTCGTCAGGGAGGCAGTGGGAGCAGGAGGCCTGGGCGGCCACTGAGCCCTGTCAGGAAATAGCCACATGACCTGGGAGGGAACCGCTCCTCCTCGGGCCTCAGTTTTATGATCAAAACAGGAGTTGATCTCACTCGTCAGCTCTCCGAAGTCTTTTTCCAATTTCAAAATTCAGT